ATTTAATTTCACAGTAAATAAAAATTATTATATGAATCTAGGACTGCCAATGAGTTCAGAAAACGTTGAAATGACTATTATTGATGTTCTAATGATTTACGCGTGACGATCACATTCTTAAATTAAAGATGGATTAGATCGAGTATAGCTATTACTGCAGATGAAAAGAAGTCTCAAATTGTCTTGCTGGTAGTAAAACACGATGCTCACCTTATCTCAGGATATTCTGCCAACTACGATCAAAATTCAACGCAAGAATCATTTTTTTGGCAATGAATCTTTGAAATTGAGATTGTACCGCTAGATGCGCTTTAGTGGCCCATTGAGTCTTGAACAAATGGCTGAATTTAAGTATACCTCTTGCTTACAGTCTAGATAAGATATAGCGTATTTTTGATCTCTATTTTTACCAAACGTAATCGAGGATTTCAAGTATTTTGCTACCCAAAGCTTGGTCAGCAAAAGATGCTCACTAATTAAAGACTAGTTTTTTTCACGTTTGCTCTAACAAAACCAAGCGCGGAGGTTAAAAAAGCACCCCAACTTGTTTACAGAACGACGAGATTAGAATAACTAATTTTCTACAAAGATAAGGCTTCTCTAGCCGGAAGCAACATAAAATATAGCTCTAATGTTACCTCTACCAAAAAAAAAACCATTAAACGTAATCGCATGATGATATAGAAGTATCAAAAAGTGGTGTTGAAAAAAATTTCTAAAAACTTTGATAAAAAAGGTTGCAGGTTTTTGAGTATCGGACCACCAGCATAAACTGCAATGTTCCTTCTATTCTGTTCAAAGGTTCCGGACTAATTGATAAAACATAACCTCACTACAAAGCATTTAAAATGATATAACATCACATGCATAATTCCCCTAATTGATTTATTTTCAGTGTAAGGCTGGCACGAAAACTTTTCGCGAACCTCTGCGTAAGTTCTGTGATGCAGGTTTTCTCACGATTGCAATTAAATGCGCTGACCACCTAATGGAGAACCAGTCTTTCATTTAAAGATTTACGGAGAAAAAAGGTAACGGCACGTGGCAACCGAATGAGCTCTCCATTTTGAAGTCGTCGGCACCTTTGAAAACTCGTTGTCGGTGTGACGATCGCTGCGCTCTATGATCATGATGATGTCTCCAAATGCCGAAGATACACTGCAATCAGCTAAAACCACTTGCAGATTCTTACAAGTTGTAAAGGTACAGCTGCTGAGCGAAATTGCGATACAATGTTC